CACATGGGTTTGGAGGTGGGGGACCCATGGGTTTGAAGGCAGGGGAACCCATGAGTTTGGAGGTGGAGGGACCCATGGGTTTGGAGGTGGGGGGACCCATGGGTTTGGAGGTGGGGGGACCCATGGGTTTGGTGGTGGGGGGACCCATGGGTTTGGAGGTGGGGGACCCATGGGTTTGGAGGCGAGGGGACCCATGGCCACTCTGAGCTGAGCCCAGCAAGGACACAAGCACAGCCCCAAGTGGGTCACACGTACCGTGGGTGCATCCTTGCTCCGAGACGGGGACGTGCTGCTGGAGGAGGCCATGGAGGTGGGGCTGAGGGGCACGGCCTCCTTCCTGCCCAGCGGGACCTTCTCCACCCCGTTCTCCCGGGATGAGTAGGAGTGGACGCTGTGCGGGGAAGAGGGGTCCTGGGGAGGGAGGGAAATCAGCAGGGAGCAGAGCAGGGTGGAGAGCAGGGATGTCCCAGATTATGGTGGCTCAAGCAAGGGCCAGGCTGCCAGCCTGGACCCTGGGGCTCACTGCTGCCACTGGCACCTCCCTGCGATGCCACCTCTGCCTGTTAGTCCCACCCTCGGGGATGGTCAGCACAAACTGGCCCCACAGCCCTCCCAGTGCCCCAGGACACTGATCCCAGACCCCTCCCAGTGTCCCAGCACACTGACCTCATCCACCACCAGGTTGTCCTCACTTTTGTCTGCATCGCTGCCCTGAAATGCAGAGAGCACGGCTGGAGCCAGAGCAGCTGCAGCCACCCTCACTCCTGCCTGCCAGGCAGCCCCATTCCTCACCCCACAGGGCGGGATGGGGTCACCCCAAGCCCCCCAGCTCTGGGCTCACATAATCTGTAACAAAATCCTTCTCCTCCACCTTCCTCTTCTTGCTGCTGCTCAGGTACTCGGCGATGGCTCGCGCGCGCTCCCCGTTCGACAGTGCCAGGGAGCTCTGGGTGAGGACAGTGCCAGTGGCTGGGGGTGCTCTGCCCAGCTCCTGGCACTGCCAGGGCTGCCTCCAGGAGCATGGAGTGCCCCAGCCCAGCCCTGTGTCCTCAGCACAGCCGGTGCCACCACAGAATGGTGCAAGAGAAGAAAAAGGCACTTACGGGGCCGGGGTCTCGGTCTGACGCTGAGGCAACGCAGAGGAGCAGCAGGAGGAGGAGGAGGAGGGAAAGGGGGACACTGTGTCACCACCAGGAGTCCCCCAGGAGTGCCACCCACTTCACCCATGGCTGCTGGGGTGTTCAAAGCAGGGCCAGACAAGCATGACAGCAGCAGGGTTGTCCCAGACCCTCCCCACCAGCAGGGTGGTCCTAAACCCTCCCCAAACAACCAGCCCACCTCACTCCCCTCCCATGAGGGTGCTGCTCACTGGAGGAAGTTCCCACCCAAGCCCCCTGCCCCTCCAGCCCAGCTGGCAGCCCTGAGGCATGGCCAGGTACCCCCAGCCCAGGGAAGAAGGGCACAGGGAGCAGAGGGAGCCCCAGACCAGCACCATCTGTTCCCAGGTTCACCCAGATCCCCTCACCCCAAACTCTGCCTCCCTGCCATGGTATCCATGTCCACACCAGGTGCCAACATTCAAATCTCAGCATTAATTAGTCTGACCACCAAAATCCCAAAAAACTCACTTTTCAAACGGGGACACTGCCCCACACTCACCCCTGGGCTCTGTGTCATGGACTCCTCTGTCATCCTTGGCGAGGAGCTGGGCCTGGGCCCCCAGTGCCCCCGAGAGTGCCAGCAGCCCCGAGGCACTGCTGATGCCAGCCAGGCCAGCAGGCTGCATCCCAGAGGGGTGTGGGGTCAGCGGGATGGGGGGAGCGTGGTGGGAGAGGTGCTG